ATCCTGTCCTCAGCAGGCAACTAACTTGTGTTATGAGAAGATGGAATCCTCTGGTATGAGCCTCTTCTGCCATGTGCTTTATCTCAGTTTATGTCTGTGTGTTATTGTACAGTGGGTTTTGTTCACAGAAGTTGTACCTTCCTTATGTTCAACTTGTGGTCAGGTATGATAAAGAACCTTTCTGTAGTATTTTTTTTTGTCTAGTTAGTCTTGCTTTATAGAAGTGATAGAAAAGTACTATGTTTGGAATCAGGAAATAAGTCCTATGGGGTGTGGCTAAAATAAGGACACTGTTTTAAAAAACAAAGCCAGGTAAGTTTTCACCTTAAAAGCTATTATTTTCTCTTCTCTTCTTTTCTTCTTTTCTTTCCTTTTATTAAAGAATTTATTTTTATAATTTTATTTTAGGGAGGGAGAGAAAGAACCTTAATCAGGCTCTACACTCAGTTCAGACCCCAATACTGGGCTCTATTCTACAACCCTGGGATCATGATCTGAGCTGAAATCAAGAATTAGACACCTAATTGACTGAGTCACCCAGGTGCCCCAAAAGCTTTTTAGAAGACTGGAGAGCTTTTCTACCTATATACCTGCTGTTATCAAAATATGTACTGAAATGCCTTTTATTTATTTATTGTTACTATTTTTTAATGTTCATTTTTGAGAGAGAGAGAGTGGAAATGGGAGGGGCAGAGAGAAAGGGAGACAGAATCCAAAGCAGGCTCTAGGCTCTAAGCTGTCAACACAGAGCCCGACAGGGGATTTGAACTCACTAACTGCAGGCATGTCCTGAGCCCAAGTTGGATGCTTAACCAACTGAGCCACCCCAACACCCCTATTTTTTCTTAAGTTTATTTATTTTGAGAGAGAGAGTGTGTTTGTGCACACGCATGTGAGCAAGCAGGGGCAGAGAGAGAATCCCTAGCAGAGCTCAAAGCGTCTCTTGATCACGAGATCATGAGCCGAAATCACGAGTCGGATGCTTAACCAGCGCTTAACCAGGTGCCCCTAGAAACTCCTTTTAGAATTTTTTAGAGGCAAATCTTTAAATCATTCTTATGCTTCAGGTATCACACCTCATTTAATGACAAAAAGATAGCACTCATTCTCACTATCTTTTACTTTATGGCTCAGGTATACCAAGTGGCTCCCATCCCCCTTTAAAATCAAATTCATCGGGGCATCTGGGTGGTTCAGTCAGTTAAGTGTCCGACGGTTAAGTGTCTGACTTCGGCTCAGGTCATGATCTCACGCTTCGTGAGTTTGAGCCCTGCATCAGGCTCTGTGCTGACAGCTAGCTCAGAGCCTGGAGCCTGCTTCAGATTTTGTGTTTCCCTCTCTCTCTGACCCTCCCTTGCTCATGCTGTCTCTCTCTCAGAAATATATAAAACATTTAAAAATAAAAATAAAATAAAATTCATCTTCAGCTGTTAAGGGGTCTTCAACTGTTAAGGGGTTCAGTAGGAATGCTCAAAACAGTGTACCACAGGCCCTGATAGCAGTTACAAAGGAAGTATAGCAAAATACTTTGCAAAGTGGAAGCACGGTTAGAATAAAAGTTTAACTTCTTTAAGTGGTGAAGGACTTTTTTGTATTTGGGGTCACTGTATATGTTATTTATACGCACCTACTTTTTTTAAGTCAGTCTGCAGTTACTTGTCATAGATTCTTGCCTATATTTGTATTGTTTCTTTTTGCCCCTATTAATTTTATACTGTTTTCAGAATGATATTTCTCACATTGGTCAGATTAATTGCATTTTCTTCCTGAGTATTGGCAAGTCTGTCTAAATTTAGTCCAGCTGAAACTAAGGAGGTTAGAAAATGATATTCCTGAAACTAAAAATATTTGACATTTTGAGAATGGTATTATTAAAAATTAGTATTCAAGTGGAAAGCTAAAAACTTTCATCCAAGTCCGAGATCAGGGAATTCTGCTTAATTAAAATGTTTATAGGTGGTTGTATTAATAGAGGTGAAAAAAAGATACACCATTAAAAGAAGAATGCTTAATTTGGGGACATAGAAAAATACAGAATTAGAGAGTCAGAATTGCCACGCATTTAAAAAACTTTCCAGGTAAAAAGGTACCTTGCTTCAAGAACTCTAATCTGGCCCTGCTGCAGGTATGGCCCTAATGTGAAGATGGATATCTCCAGTCATTACAGCTTATAAAATACTCCCTTTGATGGGAGCCCATGTTCCCCAAGTAATCTGGCCATCCTATTACTTTTCCTTAGGGAGGGACTGCACTTGCCAGGTAGTTTTGAACATTTGGTCTCATTGTATGTTACTCACTTTGGCATTCTTGTGTATATGTCACTTCTGTGAGTTGCCTTCTGTGAGCCCTGTCTACTCTGAGGTACTAGCAGGATTGAGTTTGTGGACCTGGGCGCTGAAGGGCTATGCACTAGGTAAATTCACCAGAGACACATCACCTGATGAGGCCTTTTGGTGGTCATTCAGTTGAACTTCCCTTAGCATGCCCACTGTGTTATTAACTCTTTATTTAAAATAAGTATCATCTTTGTATCTGATCACTTTCTCAGTTCCTTTACCCTAGTCGTCTCTAGAGATTAAATCGTTGCATCTTTAAAATTGCTTTTCAGAACCCATATGGGTGAGATGTGATCATGTCACTTTAGAACGCTACTGGTCCTAAGCTGCTTGCCCTTTATTCAGAGAAAGGAGTGATTGGAGAAAATAGATTGTATTAAATTTTTCTATTTACTTGATCTTCCTGTTTTTATATAATAGGAGGAATTCCCCTCCACGGTAAATGGCAACTATTAGAAAACTTCTACCGTCTCATTGAAAAGGCTTTTTCTCAAAGATATCCTTACTGTGAGGTGTTATAATCCTCAACATTTATTATTTATAGAATGAATATTAATTAATTCAATATTTATTGAGTACCTTCCGCCAGGAAAAGTTGTAGTTACTGGGATTTTAAAGATGATTAGCCTGGGATCTGCACACTTAAAGCATGCCTCATTGGACTGAGAAGATTAGTGTATGTGTAAATAATTAATGATAAGTGCCAGTTAGAGATATTGTGGAAAAGCATGAGAAAGTGATGGGGGGGTGGGGGGGCGGCCAGGGAGGAAACTAAATTTAAAAGATTAGTAGGAATTCCCTAAATGGAGAATTGGAGAAGATAATCCTGGCTCAGGGAAAACGGAGTAGAGGTAGAGAAATGTTTGCTGTGAAGATATATGGCAGCTTATGTGGGGAGAATGAATGGCTTGAATTTCAGCCTAGATACCTGGTGGTAGTGGTGAGAGATAAAGCCAAACCTTAGTCAGTTATGACTGTGTTTACTTACAAGGCTGAGAACTTGTACCATGTCTCAAAATGGAGAGCTGTCATTTCAATAAAAGTGGTGTTATCAGTTTTATAGTATAGGACAATTACTGTAGAAACCGTGGGAAGGTGGATTGGAGACAGTCCACTTAGGGAAGGTTTTATAGTAGAAAATGAGAAGGACTACAACTAGGACAGTCAAAAGGAGGCAGGAAATGTTTTTGAGGTGGAATCCATAGAACTTGGTGACAAATTAGTTGTTGGAGTTGAGGGAAAGATTGAAAAGCACCAGGGGCAGCTGAATTCATGGTAACGCCATTAAGCAAATTAGGTAGAATAGAATTAGAAAAAGATTTGAATGTTGGGTTTGGGATATGTTGAGTGGCACTGTGTCTATCCACTAGATAGGTTCGAGTTTAGGAGAGATTTGGGAACATGGATTAGGAGCGGTCTTTCTTAGTAGTTGGCACTGCTCATGTGCTATCTTAATCATTATACAACTCTGAAAGATAGGTATTGTCCCTGCTTTATAGTGAGAAAACTTAGGGATTAGAGAAATAAGTCATTTGCCCAGCATCACATAATTATGTCTTTTTCCATAGTGCTTGTGTTATCTACTGCTGTGTAACAAACTGCTCCTAAATTTTGTGACTTAAAGCAATAATTTATAATTTATCTGTCATGGTTCTGTGATTTGACTGAGCTCAGCTAGGAAGTTCTAGCTTGAGATTCTCATTTGGTTGCGGTTAGCAGCTAGAACTAGAGCATCTATAACTTGACCTGGCTGCATATTCAAGATGGCTTTTTTATTTGTGTGTCTGGCATCTCAGCTGGAATGGCTGGGGGCAACCATGTGGTGATCTCTCTCCACAGGGTCGGGCCACATGGTTAGGCTAGGCTTTGTGACTTGATCTGTATAGTAGTTTGGGTATAGTGGTTTGTTACATGGTGTCTGGTTTACTCCAGGAGTAGTTGTCCAAGAGAGCCAGGCAGCAGCTGTAAGGTTTGTAATGATCTAGGCTTGAAGTCACAGAGCATCACTTCTGCTATATTCGTTTGGATAAAAGTGAGTCTTAGGACTAGCTTAGATTCATTCTCAGGGGATCAGGGAAGGGAGGAGACTCTTCGGGTGCATGAATATCCAGACACCGTCTTTGGAAATAACTTCTTCCACATACCACTGTCTTTGGAATAGTTTTAGATAGCGTAGAAATAGACGGTCCCTAAGAGCGCCTTGCTAAAATGTGAAGAAAATGCAAGAAGATAGCTCTGGGAAACATGAATGCTTTTAAAGGAAGACCCAAGGAAGAGGACTCCATGGGAGGGAATGAATATATATATATATATTCATACATACACATTCATATATGTATATATGTCAAGAGAGAGAGGAAGAGAACTTGGAGAAAGTGGAGTCATAGAAGCCCAGAGAGAGGGAGTCACTGCCACCATAGCCGTACATCCTTAGATTTGGTTGTTATGTTAGAACAACTCTGTGGTCTAAATGTACTCAGATAGTTAACGATTATCTATGATGAGACCTGGCCTTCCGCAACCAGATTTAAAGGCTGACCTTTTTTCTTTTTAATTCACCCCACCTCACTGTATACCCCGTTGATGCCTACAATTCACGGTTAGAACTTAAATGGCCTACTTTTGTTTTTAATTACTAAATGATTGGTGTTTTCTTTATTTCAGAGCACAAAGTTATCATTGTTGGGCTGGATAATGCAGGGAAAACTACCATCCTTTACCAGTTGTAAGTATTAACTACTTAAAAATTTTTATTTTATCATTAATAGTTACTTTTTTCTGCCTGGGTAATATTTAGTTAACAAAAGGAGTAAATAATTATATGGAACCTAAAATATTTTGTAAGAAGTCAGGTTGACACTAAACTGGGAGCCAGACTTAAGCAACTGTTTTAGGAGAGCTAGAAATTTATATGACATAAAACATGTTGTTCAGTTTTGTACTTATAGAAAGTAGAGAAATATTGTTTGTATAGTTTCTGGAACTGAATCTAGAGTATTCCAGATAGTCCACTACCTAGTTCCATCTCTGTTAAACTCTTACCTTACTCCTTTTTTTTTTGAGAAAGAGAGGGCGCAAGTGAGCGAGGGGTAGAGAGAGAGAGAGAGAAGTGGGCCTCGTGCTCCCCCCAAAACAAGGCTCATGCCCACCTGGACTCAAATGCATGAATTGTGAGATCATGACCTAAGCCAAAGTCAGATGCTTAAGGACTGAGCCACCCAGGTACCCCAACCCTTACCTTACTCTTATGAGCTAGTAGAAAAGGGCCATTGGATATAAAATATAAAAACCCATGATGCTGATTTATCCTTTGATTGCAAAATACTCAAACAATCTAGCTTCCTTGCTAATCGTAATATATTTGAACTTTTTTCCCCTAGTTCTATGAATGAAGTTGTACATACATCACCTACAATTGGAAGTAATGTAGAAGAAATAGTGATTAATAATACACGTTTCTTAATGTGGGATATTGGTGGTCAAGAGTCTCTTCGTTCTTCCTGGAACACTTACTATACTAACACAGAGGTAATGGTTCTTAGTATCCTAAAATTTCTAAGAACAGAATGCTTGGGAAACATCTTCTAGATGTGAACTCTTATAATTAATCTGAAGTATCCCAGGATATTAATAAAAATAGAGTTTAAACATGGTGGAAACTCTACTTTTGATTCCCCTGTTTCAGGGTTATTGTTCTATGTATCCACTCTCATTGAACCTCTCTATAGGGAGAATTGGAATGAAGGGGTGATTGATGAGTCTGATTATGTATTGATCCCAGAACTCATCTTAAATAGTTGTTTTTAGTGAGTTCCATCTCACAGTTTGTCATTTTATTTCTCTCTTAGTATGTACTTTTGTCTGCATACAGAAAATCCTAGTTAAATGAGAGGGTTCTGGAGGCTTGAATCCTCACCACACCTTTACTATCTTTTTTTTTTATGCAGCACAATAGCACATGAAAGAATTCTTCTTTTGGTTATAAAGCAATTTAGATATAATCATATGTTTTTATTTACATATTCTTTCCCAAGAGGAAATTTCAGACCTATGACATTTGAGAACTTTGTTAAATAGAACTTGTAAATTGAAAGGCTATGACAGTTGTTTTTGTAGTACTGATTATAAAACTCCAAATGTATATAAAGATGAATATTATGTCATTAAGACACTATTAATCTTCTCTAATGACCTAATCCCCTGAAACTTTGCTAAGCATTTGATCATGTTTTTTGGAGAAGGAAAAGTATATATGGTTAGTATTTCTATGTATAATGCTGCAAGTATTAAATTTATGATAACATCTTAAAAATTAACAGTTTTATTAAAATGCCTTGAAATAGGACAGGTCTTAGGGTATTACATATCAGTAAGTGTCAAGTGAGAGAAGAGGAAAAGTATCAGTTCTCATAGCCTTCGGCCGATGGTTAATGACATCTGATAAGTGAAAAAGACCCTGGAAATTAATAACAGTGGTTTATCTGGAAATGAAAAGCTGGTTTTAAAAAAATAAACAGTGCTTATTCATTATAAGCAGTTAGAGGTAACTTGGGCATCACCAGTGCCATCATAAAGCGAATATTTCGACTCCTGTTTCCCTGGTGTTTCTTGGTGCTCGTGGGGGTGAGGAAGAGGCGCAGTGTAGCTCAGTCCTGCTCGGCTCCCTTACAAGTCTCACAACATCTTCTGACCCTAGTCTCATCATTAGTTTAAGAAAGAGTTGTGCTTGCAGGCAGCAAGTATCATTTATATAAACAAGAGAGGCATGGATTTAAATAGATTTATTCTTTCAATTTGTTGATTTTTAAAAGTTGATTTAACTGTCACATTACTCCCATATCATCCCTTTTAGAGTTTCAAATTGATATTAATAAATAATGTCTGCAGAAATGTCTAAAATTTAGTATTATAAAAGTCTAATTAGCATACAACATTATATTCGTTTCATTGTATTTTTTTCATATTGACTGTGGTGCACATAGTTGGATACAAGCTCGTTAACATTCAAGACACTAATTTAGAAACAAACATGTTGTATATTGGTTAGAATACTAATGGAATATTCTAATAGTCTTAGCATTGTATTCTCATTTCTCTTATTTTCTTTTAAAAATTAGCAAATGATATTTGAATTAAAAGTGGATCAAACCTTTAGGCTTCACACTACCTCTGGTTTTCCAGTAATACCACAGCATAACGTTCTAATTTCTTGGTATTTGTGGTCTCTAAATCAAATAAGTACTTTATAAATTTTATAAATATCAAATTGTGTAATCACTATTTCTTTGTAATTATTTTAGTTTGTAATAGTTGTTGTGGACAGTACAGACAGAGAAAGAATTTCTGTAACTAGAGAAGAACTCTATAAAATGTTAGCCCATGAGGTAAGTAGAATTCTGGCATTATGTGTGTGTGTGCGATATTGCTATCACATTTGTTCTTTCTACTCTTCTCGTTATGATACTACTTCAAATGTTTATTTATTTACTTACTGTTATTTTTAAAAAAAAAAACTAATTTTGAAAAGAAAAATTTTGAGTAAGTTCTAGGCGCAGTGTGGGGCTTGAATTCATGATAAAGAGATCAAGAGTTACATGCTCTACTGACTGAACCAGCCAGGTGCCCCTACTTCACAATTTTAAAAAAGTTATTTATCTGTTGGCCATTCTGCTTTATAATTTTGACACTTCCCAAATTGGAAGTGTATCTGGAAACAACAGAAAGATTGTGGAGTCAGTTATAGAGTTCTATTTCTTTTATCCTAGGTTAATTTGGTCTAGAAGTTTTCCTGGGTGAAAAGGCCTAAATTAGCTTTTATTTTGCATTTTATATAGGTAACTACACAGAAGGTTATCACTGGAAATGAGATTTTAAGGTCTCATGGGCACTTAGTAAGTTTCGAGTATAAGTCAGTTATCAGAGTGGTATATGTTGTCATTCTTATGTTTCTCTGATATTGTCCCTTTGACTAAACAAAACTACATGACTAGCCACACTTTCTTAGTCTTTGAGAAATATTATGGGTAACATAATTTAAAAATGAAATAAACTAAACAATATATCATTAATGATAATAAGTTACTATAAAGTCATAATATTTACTGTAGTAGCAGTTGATTTTTTTGTATATCTTTCACTGCAGATATTACGTTCTTTTTTTAATGTTTATTTATTTTTTGAAAGAGAAAGAGACAAAGCGCAAGCAGGGGAAGGGGCAGAGAGAGGGGGAGACACAGAATCTGAAGCAGGCTCCAGCCTCCAAGCTGTCAGCACAGAGCCCCATGTGGGGCTTGAACTCACAGACTGTGAGCTCATGACTAGAACCGAAGATGGCCGCTTAACTGACTGAGCCACCCAGGCGCCCCGCAGACATTACGTTCTTATTTATAGGTACGAGGTACACTCGTATTTATTGGTAGAAATAGAAAAATTAATATTTAGATTTACATATGTAACTGTTAATCTTAGTGGAATTTTAACAAAGCTTTAAAAAACTGGCATATCTCTATAATGAAGTTTTGTATTAATTTTAATATCGATTTGATGATTTGTTTTTGAGGTTTGCATTAGGAATTTTGGAATGTTTCAGGCATCCATTCAAGACATAAGGACACCCAATACAGTGGTTGTATAAACTCAAGTTCTGTTTTCCATGTGGCGATCACGTCCGCCAACATGCACCTTCCACTGTTTGGGATTGATTCTCTGGCAGCTTTGTTAAACCCCTTGTTGGGTTTTTAAGAAAGATAATTCGTGTTGCTATTTATGTATTTAACAAATTTTGATTCTTGTTTGGGAAACAAAAAATAAACTATAAAAAAGGTAGAAGACTAAGGATTTTCTTTTTGTTTTAATTTTCCCTTTGTATTTTACACCAAGGAATTATTGTTCTATGAAGATTTAGGAAGGAGAAAAAGAAGACACAAATGTATTTGTATCTTGGCTCTGTTCTTTACTCTCTTAACAGATAGTCTTCTTCTTTGATCCTTGTTCTCATTGGCCAATATATAGCAGGATCAAAGAGCTTAGTAGTAGGACTCAGAGTCATTGAATTTTACTAGCTGGGGACATTAAATTGAGCTGGTCACTTCATCTGTTGTGGATGTTACTCATCTGTAATGGATGAGTACACTGAGTCTCTGAAAATTTGTTTGACTTGACCAGGTTTTTAAGAGCTAGGATTTGAACTTAAGTATTCTCAGTATTCAGGCTCTTTGCTAAGAAGAAGAAAATAAGACAGAAATAAGGCCTAGTTGGAAAGTGAAAGAGACTGAATGGGGAGAGTGTCAAGAGAAGAAAGGAATTACAAATGATGTTGGGAGCTGGATTAAACCAATTAATAGGGTCGAAGAGCCAAATAGGCAGAATTGAGGAAAGGGGCAGATGGATCAAAGAATGAGACTGTATGAGTGAAAGACAAATTTTGACATGGGGTTAATCAGATGTTTCATATATACCATAGCTACCAACAAAATCTTATTGTCATCACTAATAATGATGCTTCACCTATATTACTAAATACAAAACTATGAAATGATTTTAAATATTTCTGAAAGCTTCATCTTATGAAGTGCAAAACTTTGAAGGTCATGCATCTTAAAATTGTTCCAAGCACAAAAGGGTATATGATGTTTTCTTTGGAGTAACTCAGCTTCTAGGAATTATCTTCGCAAATGAAGCTTGGAGAAACATATTGACAATAGCATATGGCATATGGAAGATGCTAAGTAAATATGTCTTGGGGGTGCTGCCGTTATTCATCTTCTTGACTAAACGGAAAAATATTTTTAGACTCTTAGCAATAATCTGTAGCAGAGGGTTTTTCAAAGTTTAAAATGACTAATAAATAAAAATCACCACTGTTCACTTTGTACTTGACCTCTTGCTAAGTCCATTTGATGAACACCCTTAATCCAGCATGTCTCTTTTCTGTTAGTGTAATGTATAATTGATCCTGAGGTTATTTTATAAAAAAGGTAAAGGAAGATTTTTTTTCTTTCTAAATACTGCTTAGAAATAGGGAAAATAGCTGTTTATGTATTTGTTCTTTTAAAACAAGAAACCTGGGACGTGTGGGTGGTTCAGCCAGTTAAGATTCTTGGTTTCAGCTGAGGCCGTGACCTCACAGTTCATGGGTTCAAGCCCCGCTTTGGACTCTGCACTGTTAGCACAGGACCTGCAGGGAAATCTCCCTCTCTCTCTGCCCCTCCCCTGCTTGCTTGTGTGCACGTGCACATGCGCTTTCTCTCAAAATAAATACACTTTAAAAAATGAAAAAAACAAGAACTGCAAATAAAAAAATTAGAGCCTGTGAAATGTAGAAAAATTATATTCGATTTTTTTAAATCTTTCAATAAATGGCTTTTTTTTTTCTTTTTCCAATTTTTAGTCCAGGGGCTTCTTCAAATAATTTCATCATTAAGAGTGATGAGTATAGATTATATACAAATAAAATCGCATAAACTTTGTGCTCTCACTCGTGCCAGGTATTTCTAATATCAGAAACGTGCTCTTTGAACAAGCCAACAGTAGCAATCCTTACCTATATAAGATTTCAGCATTCACTAGTAAGAGGAATTGAAACCTGAAAGATAGGAAGATAGGAATTACATTCCATGGAAAGTCCATCTACTCAGTGATTCAGCCACATATCAACTATTGATAAGTATCCTATTTTCCATTTAGGGTAGGAGAAAAAGTACTTGATCCTTGATAATGAATATAGTAAATGACCTAGTTAGAGTCCATCCCTTCAACTTTTTGCCTTGTGTATAAGACAGGGGAACCGAACATGGTGAAATAAATTGAACATAAAATCTTAAAACTTAACATTCCTGAGCATCCCTTTCAGACGCTGCTTTTCAGGTGTCATTAGCCATGGTGGCATAGCTGCCAGCCTGGAGAGGGCGCTGTGACTAAAAGTCTGTCCTGATTGTTATATAAAACATTTTGCACAACTCCTTTTAACAAATAAGAAATTTACCACTTATATTTTTATTGACCTCAGAAATAAAATCATAAAAATTGTTGAAACTGTGTTCTCATAAGAATAATGTGGAGCAATGTCAGTTTGTATCTACTAAAGACTTTCTTGTTTCAAATACATATACATATGATTGAAAAAAAAGTATCCTATAAAGATGTCATTCATTCAGCACAGTTGACAAAACTTTTAAGCACAGCACCAAAACCTTCGTTTTCTCAGTATCTCTCCATGTATATAATATGTGTATACATACATATGTATGTATATGTGTGTATATATGTACATATGTGTATATACATATAATTTTATGAGAGTTTTATCTATCAGTTGAGAGCATCCATCATGAGTTCTTAACCTCGGATCCACGAGTGGACTTTAGAGTATCTATACACCCGAAAATCACATATAAACTTTTTTTTTTTTTGGCATATATACATTTTTATGAGGAAAGGGTCCATAACTTTCAATAGATTATCAAGGAAGTCCTCAGCTTTAAAAATGGGATGGGGGGGATGGGATAGAGTAAAAGGCGATGACTAACCAACCATTGGCCTGCTTTGTGAGTAAAACATTAGACCAGTCAGTTTGGGGTATGCACAAAGGTAAAGGTGATCCTCATTTTCAGGGCAGTAAGTGAACTAACATTTACTCAACTGTTACCTAAAGCCAGGTACTAAACTGAGTGTTTTTCATGTAGTAGTTCATTCATTCAAACTATATCCTCAGGAGGTAGGTGGTAGTCTCAGAACTTTATAGATGAGGGGCAGCAGGTATAGTGGGAAGATCTCAGCTCAAACCTGGTTCTGTTACTGAGTAGCTGTATAATCTTGTATGAGTTACTTACTGCTGAGTTTTAGTTTCCTTATGTATAAAATGGGGATAGTAAGGCCTACCTTACAGGAATCTTGTGAAGATCAAAAGAGATTTTATTTGGAAAATGGTTAACATAATGGGTGTCTTGCTCGGATTAGATACTTGACAAATGTTATGAAGAACAAGTTCAGAAAGATTAAAGAATTTGCTTCAGAGGCAGAGCATAGAAGTGGTAGAACTTATGTCTAATTGGAAATTTAATAAGCTTAATGCCAGTCCAAAATGACCCCATTGAGTATTCAAATCTAAGGAATCTACATGGACAAAGAGGAGCTAGGTCTCAGAAGAACAGGATTGGTTTAGGAAAGCACCTCTCAACTGAGAATTAAATTCTAAGGCCCTAAGGCATACATTGTTTGTTTCCTAAGCACCTAGAAAGTACTAGCTTTAGGTATGGGTACATAAAGAAGAGGTGGGGGTAAAATTTTGCAAAGTTCTTGAGTGCCATGCTAAAGAGTAGCTCTTAGCCATGGAAACCTAGCTTGGGGTTAGGGGAAGGGGTAAATATGTATTTGAAGACATGACTTGTTAAATATAGCAATTAGGACCATAAGAAATGTAACTTGGGCCTATAAGAAATATGTAAATCCATACAAATACAGATGTGTTTATTTAAAATATGTTTAGTTTTAAGTTTACCATCTATCTGTGCTCGCTTCAGCAGCACATATAGTAAGTTTACCATCTATCAGCATCAGAGCCGTGAGATGCTTTTATGTCAGGTAGTTAAGGAATTCTAGGTTAAAATATTGTCAAAAGTATTTGTTTAATTAAGTTGGGAAATCCATGAAAAAAATGCACTGGCCTTTTTACAGTTTTGTTTGCTTTTATAGGACCTAAGGAAAGCTGGATTGCTGATTTTTGCTAATAAACAAGATGTTAAAGAATGCATGACTGTAGCAGAAATCTCCCAGTTTTTGAAACTAACTTCTATTAAAGATCACCAGTGGCATATCCAGGCATGCTGTGCTCTGACTGGCGAAGGGTAAGAGGTCTTTCTTTCAGAAAACATGTGTTTAGTTTAGGAACATGTATTTATTTCTTCTGAAAGTCAATAACTATTTAAGGCTGCCATGTATTAAACAATGTAAGGGATAATCATATAAGAGTTTATGGCTTGGTTCTGTACATAAAACCTATAATGTACACATAATACATGTGAACATACTGAACAAATCCCTGTGAACATGTAGATGATAGAGTTGCTGTAGGGCTTCAGAGAAATGTGGGTGAAGGAGAGCTGGACAAGTCAGGAAACTGTTCTTGCTCTGATCCTGGGACTTAACATTGTAGCAAGTCTGTGTCTCCAGTGCTTTTCATATGGTGTATCATTTATTCCTGGTAACAATCTGGTGGACCAGGTGTCTTCAGTTTGCATTTTATCCATAAAGAAGCTGAACTAGCAAAGAATTCAAATGTGAGACTGATTTGAGGGTACTCACTTTGCCACCAGTGTTGTCAAGAGGGCGTTGCTGCACTTAAAAAAAAAAAAAAAAAAAAAAAAGTTAGAATTGGAGAGAGTGTGGCATGAACGTTCCTGGTTTGGGAAGGAAAGGTAGGTGCCTACAGTAGAATTTTGCCCTAATGCTCAGACATGAAAGGACTTCAAGAGAGTTGTCAGCATTGTCACACGTAAGGTCAAAGATCAGGAGGATGGAGAGAGTGCTATTAGGTGAGACGGAATAAAGGAGGTAAGAAATAGGATAAAGAGCCAGAAAGATGAAGTTAAGCTTTTTGTTGTAGTTGTTTTTCCAAAATACGGTGTATCTGTATGTGTTGAAAAGCAGTGAAAAATAAACTGGAGATGAAGATTCTAATTAGAGGTCTTACATTTGAGGTTGAAGTTCTTCAGGTACTTGGAAAGGACAGACGCTCGGGGCAGAGATAGATAGATAGCTTCAGAAACCCATTATATTGGTTCACTCCTCACCCTGAGGAAGAGGAAGGGAACTTTCCCCACTTTACCTAGCTCTTATCTCTGCCTCAAGCTTCTTCTCTTACCTAACATCAGAAGAACCTCAACCCCAAATTTAAGACCTCTATTTAGAATCCCTCATGTATGTATTTAAAAGCAGAGAAAAAAGAATTAAATTGGAGCTGAAGCTGAATCTTAGTGAAATAGAAGACACTATTACCTGATGACAGACATTTGATAGAGCATAAGTAGAACCTCAAAAAAGCAAATATGTTCATTTAAAAAAGTTACGAATAATACCAGTTGTTCACATACTCATTTAGGTAAAAAATGCCTTATCCATTACATATTTCTTTGTCAAATATTTTAATACATGTTGAGATACATTTATAGTTATAGACATATCTTTATATATTGTCTTTGTCTACCAAAGGTCTTTAAGCACAAGCACTGATTTGAATAAATTTGACAGCAAAGAGGATCATCTAGGATTGGTAGATGATTTGACTTATATACTTTGAGTAATTGTGTGGAAACTATATCATTAATGAGGATAGATATGAACCTTGGCATTTCATTCTTAAAAGAGGAAATAGATGAATGATTGTTTATCTTTCCAGTTTTTGGTTTATGTGGGCTTCCGTTTGGAGTGTTATCAAATCGAAATGTTTGGTTTTGGTGAAAATGTTTTCCTTCTGCAGTCTAGCCACCTTGATCTAAATTCTTGGTTTTAGTATTGGTTGGCATTTTGACCCCCACCTCTGCCATTTGCTAGCATCTTTTAAGCCTGGATTCCCCCTTGTAGCGTAGGAAGTGTTCTGGTCTCAACATTGTAAAGATTAAGATAATGGATATTAAGTGTTTAGCATGGTTTCTAGTTTGCTATTAGTTAACTACTGTTTATTTAACAGTTTGGAGTCGTTTGCTTGTTTTTTGCACCATTTCCTATCAGTAGTTTATTTTATTTTATTTTAAATGTTTTATTTATTTCTGAGAAAGAGAGAAAGACAGCATGAGCAGAGGAGGGTCAGAGAGAGAGGGAGACACAGAATACAAAGCAGGCTCCAGGCTCTGAGCTGGCTGTCAGCACAGAGGCCGATGCAGGGCTCGAACCCACGAACTGTGAGATCATGACCTGAGCCGAAGTCGGACGCTCAACCGACTGAGCCACCCAGGCACCCCTCCTATCAGTAGTTGAAAAGTAAGGAATCTAATAACAGGAGGGAAAGTGTGGGCTAACACACAAATAACCATTTTTTAACCTCATTGTATTTTCTTCTTTTTCTGCTTTTATATTATTAGATTATACTTCCACAAAAATCTGAGTTCTGGTGTTTTTCAATTAAATGTGGTAGCATGATTTCTCATACCTATCAAACCTCATAGGTGATAATGATATAATAGTCTTTATCTTATAGTATGTACAAACATTTTCCTCTTGCTAAACATTTAGTTTCTTTTATCGTAATTAACGTCTCTTTCTATATTTTGCATTGTGCTCAATTACGCCTTGTTCCACAGTAACTAGTATTAGTGATAAGAGATTTTATTTCCTTCAAGTTTTGTTAATATATAGATGAAATATACATATTATAAGTATACTTTGTTTTAGCAGCTCAGCTGCATGTTTAGCTTAGTATCCTGCCACTTTTACCTCATTTATATCGTGAGCATTTTGTCATACTGTAATATAGTCTTTGAAAGGAAGTTTTTAATATTTCATCCTACGAATGTTCTATAATTTAATTTCTGGGTAGTTAAATTTTACTTTTACCTATCAAAAATGCTTTGAACAGTCTTATATGTCAACCTATCCTTGTGTCTGATGGTTTTTTTTAGGATATATTTCTAGAAGTAGAAAAAAGGTAAGAGTATTGATGTTTTAAGTATTTCTGATACATATTGCTAAATTTCTTTGGCTATTCATTGTATAATGATTCAGCTCCTTCTATGTGTCAGGCAATGTTCCAGGTGCTAGAGACCAAAAAGAACCAAAAAAAAGCATGAATGTACTGTGTGTGAGAGTATGGCTTCACCACAAAAACACCAGCATTGAGTATTACTGATTTTTTAATCGTTGTTTAAGTAAACGAAAAATGGTATCTTCTTTTAGTTTGCTGTTCATAGCTTTTTAGTTGAGAATTTAATCAAGTGATTTTATATTCTTTATAGATTATGCCAAGGACTTGAATGGATGATGTCACGACTTAAGATTAGATGATCTCTACTGACCTCTTCTCATAGACTTTGTATAAACGAAGTGCTGGACTTTACCTGAAAGCTGCAAAAATTAATGGTTTAGATATATTTATAATAAACTGATTTAAACTTTTTCTATAAGAAGAAAAATTAAGACCACTTCTTTGAGAACAAAGATGAAGTCTCACTTTCCAATCTGCTTTCTCATTAGTCCCTTCCAAAGCAAGATCTTTAAAGCTGTGATTGCTATTTTTCTCATAATGAATCCTCTCAGACCATTGTGTAGCCTGCGGTAAGTACAACGGGAGAGGAAGACATTTTTAACTTTAAGAGCTTTATTGTCAGTATAAGCCTCCCTAGATGAATGTTGTTCTCTTGTTCCATTAAGTCAAATACAAATCAGCACAGATATTCAGTTTCTGATATTTTAAAATGTAATGTTACTTATGAAAAGTATTTTGCATAAGGTTGTGTATCTATTGTGTATATACCTCAAGTTCAAGTTTATGGCTTTGGGTTATGTTCTAAAGAGAAGCAAATAACACAAAAAGTAATAATATCCTTAGTTATAACCGTAATGAGATGAGTACTGGCAATGGTGTTAAGTGCCATTTTGTGCTTTCCCCTGTGTTCTCTGTATTGTACTAACCAAACCCCAAAATCATTGAGCTGCTGTTAAAAAAAAAAAAAAAAAAAAAAGATAAAAGGAGAAAGCTCGATGTTTTATAGCTATTTTTGTTGTTGTTGATCAAATTACATACATGAAAACATGTAATCTGAGTGGAGTATCTGCAAATTTTTGGCTTAGTGTTATGAACGGACAGCATTTCACATTCAGCAGTTCTTGTTACCTTTATTGGATCTATGCCATCTGGATTACTGAGAAAATTGTTAATCCATTAATCAGTCAATCATTAATTGTTATTAAAATTATCAAGTGATTTTTTTTCCCTAGCATTAATTGGAAGCTGTTGTGTAAAATATGTCTACCCAGAGAAGTATCACACTATAAATATTATCACATAATTTACCTAGAGTCTTCTTAGGTGTTGAATTATTTGTCAAGCATTTAGAGTGAGTTTGAGATGAAAAGAAAACTTATTTTCTAAGTAACAAAGGTTATTTCTTAATTTGGAAATTCCTTATTTCTGGAGTTGGGATAGTTTGAGATTTTTTGTTTCTATACTTTTCTTTTTTTTTCACCTTCTTACTAACTAACGTGAATACATTGACAACTATAAAATACAATTTTTAAATGCTTTTAAGAGTTTGGTTTAAAAGTTGATCAACACATGGTACATTATTTTTGCAAAGAAGTAACTTGGCCCCAAATGTCTTATGTTTCTTTAGGGTATTTTGTTTTTCACTGAAAATGGAAAGATATGAAGGTTGAAAGTATTTTTGTGGTAATTATAAACAGACTTATCCTAAATGTGTTCACACATATTTTGGGTACTCTCTTTGTGTATGTTTCATGCCCTGAAAATCCGAACGCTGATCCAAGCTGGCATGTTTTAGAATATTCAAGAAAAGAAGTAACCACCTTTAATACGAGCCTTTTGGATTTTGTGTAGATTTTGATGAGGAATAATAGTATATACTACAAGCATTGACAAAACTTTAAAAGTTTCTTTCTGTAAAAGATACTCAGTATCTAAATCCAAGTCAGGCATGGGAGATCAGTGTTTAACAGTGGATGTTTTGTGTTTTATATTTATATTATAATATTCATAATGCAAGTATAACATTTTAATATTTGTCAACTTGCTTTTACAAAAGTAAATTCTAAATTACTAAGCTTTATTTTTTCATATGTTTTCATACTTTTTCAAATCACTATTAGGATATTTGTTTTATATTAAAAACTCCCTTAGAAACCCAAATCTATTTTGCAGATGTTGCATTTTCATCAGAGGTAAATATTCTGTAAAGTGGTCCAGCAAATCTACATCTTTTACCCTTTCTGTCTTTTAATTTGTGTTTTCATGGTTTAGTCTTGTGGGTTGCTGCCACAGGAGTTCAGCAATATACCAGCACATTCCCTTGTCGACAAGCTGTTGGCTACAATTTATTCTTAATTGGATGTTTCAAGCATGCACTACATTGTTACAGTTGGTTTAGTGTAGTAGGTTACTGACGTGGCATCATGAGAATGCATGAAATCTTATACTACATTTACAAAACATTGTTTTTTTTGTTACATTCTTCCTTTCTAGGCCAACCATTAGAAATAAAGTTGTACCTATATACGTGTACAGAAAACCAAAATTACAATGAGGAAAATTTTTTAATTCATGTACAAAAATACATAAAGATTATTTTAACAGTATTCTTTCCAAATATGATGTAGAACCTTATGAATAATTATATTGGCAATTTATATGTAGTTTAAATAGAATTAAGCGAAGGGCAGTGCTTTTGGTTTTTAATATGCTACTTACTTTTTGGGAAACAGTTGTCTTGTTTAGAGTTACTGCGCTCACCTCTGAGAAGAACAGAGCTTCATACCTCTGTACATGTGGTTGGATGAAATATCCTGTGTTTGATGTTAATTTTGAAAGTCATATAAATATTCTTGATATCTTGGTAAAAGTAACCATATGCTAAAAGCATTTAAATGTGTTTAATTTTGTGATAATAACATTTATAAAGTATGTCCTACACATTATATTGAGAAGTCTAGTTTGAAAATTTTCCGTTCTTTTCTAACTTCTTCGGCACTCACGATGGGCAAAGAATACAGTGAAGGCAGGTGGTTTGGGGGACAGGGTGAGGTGGGTATGGAATATGACATTTTGCCTGAAGAATAAAGTGCTTTAGCACTGCTGGCCGGCAATCTTAATGCAGATGGTTAAAGTGGTTTTAAAAGTATGGCATGAGATAGAAAAGTGTGTTTTCTGGCTTTTAAGAAGTGCCTAGTAGGTAGTTACAGAAAAGTACAGGGAGCTTGAGTAAAGGCAGGAAGTCCCTAAGATGTTCTTTTCTTTATTGTCTGAGTGTCTAGAATTAAGATGCCTGGAAATGGGATTTTATTGTCCTCTTTCATAGGCACTTTACATTTCTTGCTGTGACTACAGCAACCACATACAGTACAGACAGCCTCATAATCTGTTTATATTAGTGTAAATAGAAAAACTGTAGACAACTTTCTAGTTTTCTCTGCAGACATTTTTGGGACTATATCTGTAGTGTGTTCTACTTTGTATAGAGAGGATAGCAGCACATCCCAGATTATCTGTGGACTTTGGGGTCATGTCTCAATTGCTCAGTTGTATCCTGGCATCAGTCCCTCTTTCAAGGCTGGGTAGAGGCAAGGTTTCTTTGCATGACTTAACTTTAACCCCTCCCAACTGTCCAAACATAATCTAAAACTTCCTGCCTCAGGATCTTTGCCATTGCTTAGCCGTTCCTTGCTCTCCTGTATCTTCATTCACCGTCAGTGAAGGTATGTTTCTCAGTCCTGGAGGTAGTATTCTAAACTTTGCCTTACAGCCAGTGTTCCTCAAACCACTAGTTTCTCAGTAGATTCTCTAGTTCTTTGCTGTGGCTCCCCCTACTGGGTTGATGTGTTGATTTGTACTTTGCTCATTATAGTGTATTGTCAGGGTTGTAGGGTATATCAGAAGACTGGCTTGCTGTATATGCAGCATATAAAAGCCAATAGTAAAATCCTTCATACTGTATTTAACATTTTAATGTTTCTTAATTTTAGCTTCAAATGCTGAAAAGCAGATTCAAAAAGATAACAGAATGACCTAGACTTTGTCATCTCCTTAAGCTGCTAGTTAGTCATGGAAGGGATTAAATGATGTGCATGTTATCTTCCCATTACCAAAAGTTGATTTGAAAAAGATGCCAAACCAAATTTACATGTAGTACTTAACCTGAAGATATCCTTAAAAACCATAGCCCACATTCTTTTTTTCCCCTTATGTTTACTTAAAGAACACAGATAAACATTGGATGTCTAAAAGAAGTAGTAAGGAGAAGCCTGTCTTTACAAAATAAACCTGTTGAAATGGGCTTTAAAGGACATCAAAATCATCAACCATCGTGTGTTGGTTTTGTACAGATGTAGACACAATATAGGAAATACTAATTTAAAGTTATACCTTTATAAAAAAAAAGAAATTCTATATCATACTCCCTCAAAGAATATATGATAGTTTTAAGACCCTATCGATGATATAAGGAAAAGAGAGTTTTAAAACCTTCAATGCTAAAAAAATGGCTGTTTCTACTAAATTCTAACATGGTGTGTGAAATTGTGAAGAAATTGTAACAGGATACAGTCGGTTAATTATGCAGTTTTTTAAATCAGTTGTCTAGTCGTCGTTGTATTGTTGCAGAAACTAAAGTTTATGGTCTTGCCTGCTAGATACCCTGTTCTTTGAAAGAAGATTCCCATAGTCTGTACCCAAGAAGTGCCTAAAATTGATTTGTGTGGGTTTTTAAGTCCATCTAATAAATTATATGTGTTTTCTATGGTATTATATGTGCTTGGAGTACTGATGACACAGCCCTGAGGATTTCTAAGTCACAATTTGTGCTTTATTTGGGGGAGGGGGAAAGAACTAAATAACAAACCATAGTTTAGGAAACATGAGCAAAGCCATTTTTTTCTCTTTCCTAATGAAAATATTCTACTGCCTTTTAGTTAATGCAGAGGCTAGAAAACTGAACTCTTATTTCTTTTTTTTTAATAGTTTTCACACAGAAGATTGTATTGTGTGTTTTAAAACCTGAGTAGAAGTTTATTGGTCGTGTAAGAATAGCCTATTAATTCTCTTCATACTTAGTGGTTGGTGATTTTGAGTTTACCATTTAGATCTTGATCCATTTTGTCAATCAAGACGAATCCTTCCTCTTTGTTGAGATTCTGCTTGCAAACTAAAATATTTGATAGACTGCTGTTATGTTTTCATATTTCCTTCCCTCCTTCTTTTCCCTTCCTTCCTCCCTTTTTTCTGACCATAGAGTGGCAACTATAAATCCTGGGGGCAGAGACATGATTGTATTTTCCGTGATTTACAACTACATTGTGCTTATATTTTAAATCGTCTTGCATGGAAAAGTGAACTGTGTACATGATTTTAAATAACTGTATACTCTTCTCTTCTCCAGAACTTCTTACATTGGTGATACACAGAATTCTTCTAATTATTTTTGCTTAAACTAGTCATTTAGATTGGAGTAGTCTTTTCTTATATTATGTCCCTCTACGGTTTTTTGAGAGGAGGTGATACCTGCAGAGCACTTTTAAAGATATTTTCTGGGTTAATGTTCAAGAGAACACACTGAGGAAGAAGCTATAATTACGTCTAAGGAGGGAAGGGCTCATTTGGTTGCTAGAGATGAGAAAAACGTACACTAATTTTCATTGGTGCTTAAAATACATTTTACTAACAGTATTGATTTTAAATATGACACATTCTTACAGATAGTCTTCCTTGTTTATCGTATTTTCCGAAGAAGCCTAGATGAAAATAATGTTCTCAGTAGTCTATCTACCCCACCCAAATTGAGCTCTGTATATATTGACATAGTTGAAGCCACATTCAATACAACAAAGAAATTAGAGAACCTTTTGAAAGTTTTTAGGTTTGTTGTATTGGAATTTCTAATATGATAAAAGGTTTTAAGTCAAGCTTTGCATGCATGAAGAGGCAAAAAAATTTGTCTTACCTCTTTATCTTTTTTTTGAACATGTGTTTCTCTGAATCCTAAGAAAATTTTACACTCAAGGAATATTCCAAATAAGATCTAAGGATCTTAGAGCATGTGGGTGCTTTGTAGTTCCATCACTGCTGATGTGTTAGATACCTAGGGAAATAATGCTTCAGGGTCTTCTTGACAGGAAAACTTCGTGGATGGCTGGAGGATATTTACATTTTTGCAGAGGTTGGGAGGTAGTGGCAGATTGAAGTAGAGACCTCTCCAT